GCGGGCGACCAGTACCAGGGCACCGTCTGGTTCAGCTACTACCGGGGCGAAGAGGCGGCCTTCTTCATGAACCGCCTGGGCTACGACGCCATGGTAGGGGGCCGGGGCCGGGGCCGGGGCCGGGGCCGGGAGGGAGCGGGCGGGCTGCGCAGGGCGCCGTCTGGGTTTAGCCCGGCTCTGGGGCCGGTAGGCAGGCGTCCCGCTTGCCGGCAGGGGAAACACCAGGACCACTGAAGTGGCTTTCCTAGCTGCAGGGGAAGACCTCTGTCTTCGCAGGGGATACCCGGACCCCGGCAAGGCGTAGGTAGCCTCCGGCGTTCACTTCCCCTGGGAAGATGGTGGCTTTACACCAGCTTTCTGGAAACGGGAGAGTTCTTCCCAGCTTGCTCCGTACAGCCGGGGGCAGCCGAAACTCCGCGGGGGGCACCCGAGCCCCACGCCTCCGGGCCGGGGCCTGCACTGCACGTAGGACGCCTGCCAGAGGATTTGGAAACATCTGGGGTGGAGGAAGTTTGCAGGTAGTAGGACCAGATATGGTTCTTGAATGACTCACGGATTTGGAATTGATTTGACTTGGGACAAGCACAATTTTCCTTTTAAAAAACAACCGGTTGCCCCACTTGAAGGCCCCACACAGTGACCACTGTGCCCACCGGGCCATGCAGGTGGCCAGGAGGGAACGGCTGCGCGGAAAGCGCCGTCCCCAGCCTGTTTGAGGCGGGTCAGAGCCCGTGTTCGGCTGCAGATGGAGCCAGGGGCTCGAGCAGAAGTGCCCTTTGCTGGGTCAGACCCAGCTCAGTCTTGCCTAGTCTTCTATGGCACGTGGATCCTCCTGGCCCTAGCCAAGCTCGCCATCCATCCCGCCGCAAAGGAGGCTGTGGCTGGGAGGACCCCAGGGACTGTGGGGCCTTTTTCCTGTCCCTCGTCCATTCCTGTCTCTGGGTAGAGTTTTGCTGGGCAGTGTCCACTGGCTCCTTGGACTCATGCGTGGGCTGCTGGGTGTGCTCTGCTACTGGCACTCTAATTTAAAACCTTCGACCATAACTCCTGTCCCTGCTTTGTCTTTAGTTGTCTCAAGCATTCAGTTATTGCCTGGCTAGTGGCTTCCGTTTCTAAGGGAAGCCTATAGCATTTCCTTGTGGGCACTGGCTCAGGCTCCCTAAGCAACAAATAGGTGTGTCATGGGGATACTCCTGGCCTCAGCCAAGCTTGCCACTTATCTCAGCAGGAAGGAGACTGCGGCCAGGAGAACCTCGGGGACTGTGGGGCAGCTTTCCTGTTTCTTGTCTGTTCCTGTCTCTGTGCAGTTTCACTGGGCGGTGCCCACTGGCTCTTTGGACTCGTTCAATGGCTGGTGTGCTCTGCTCAGTGTCCCCTCTTGGCATACTCATTTTGAACCTTTGACTCACTTCTTTCCCTATTTTACTTATTTGTTCCACAAATTGAGTTGGCACACACCCAACGGCCGCTTCTGTTAGCAGCGGGGGATAACCGTTGCTTTGTGGGTGGAAGGCCCATGCTACCGATATGTGTTAAATAGGCCTGAGTCACGCAGTGTGTCCCCCCTTAGCTCTTGGTGCACTTGTTTATAAACTTTACCCCTCACTTCCCTGTTTTTTTTCTTTAGTTGCCCCCTGTAATCACTTGATGTGTACTTAGTGCCCCCTCAGATTAAGGAGGTCTTTTAGCTTTACTTGATGGTGCATGGTTGCAATGCCAATCAAATATGCCTGTGTCATAAATATGCCAGTGGCCCCCCTCATCAAGTGGGGCTTATAGGTCTACTTCTTGGGCTTTGGCCTCTGTTCTGGAACGGCATGTTAAAATGCCTGTCACACATTGGCAAAGAGTGGATGCTGGAAGGGAGAGTGAAAAGGTTATGACCAGGGTTTTTTTCCTGTTCCTTACTCACTTGTAGCCTCCAGCATTTAAGATTTAGGAAGTTCCCACTCAGAGGCTGTAGCCCTCATTCCTATGTTCACAGCTATTGATGTGCATTTTTTCCAAGAATTTGTCCAGCCCATCCTTTTTTGAATCCGTCTAAACTGTCAGCTTCCACAGCATCTGGTGGCAGTGAATCTCAAACTTTCATTACATGCTGCATGACTTCCCTGTCAGGCTGAAGTCAGGCAGGGTCAATTTGCACTGAATCAGATCTGTAGAGAGCCTGGGTGGATCTAGGATTTTGAAATGGAAGTTGCAGATGGTGTGGGGCATCATCATAAGAGCTGGCATTTACTGAGCCAGATCACAGGTCATCTTGCCCGATCTCCTTTGTCACACAAGGGCAGGGAGTGGATGCTGAAAGGGAGAGGGAACTGGGTACAACCAGGGTTTTTTCCACTGGGCCTCTCCGACTTGCCACCTGCAGTATTGAAGGTCAAAAAAGTTCTGATTCATGCTGTGTGGAAACAAACTTTCTCTTGTTATTAGTTTTGTTACCTAGTTTGTTTTTAGACTAACTGGGTGCATCTACATGAGACACTTAATGCACAGAAGTCTAATTCTACTGCACATTCGTGCATCACAGCAAAAGCTGTGCTAATGTACTAAATGCGCAGTAGAATTAGTTTGCTGTGCATTAAACGTCAGGAAAAGAGTGTGCCTTTGCTACTGCGCAGTAGCATCGGCTACTGCACGTTTAGTGAGTACCTCGTGTTAGAGGTACTAAACTTAACTGTGCCATAGTAATGATGCATTCCTGCATGTGTAGACACACCCACTGATGCATAAGGTTTGGTCTTGCATTGTGACTATCATGTATCAGGCTGCACTCCTTCATTCCCAGGTTTGCCCTGCTGAATGCGTAGAGTTAAATCATAGGCGGCCTTGAAAGGGCTTGAAAGAGATTGTTATAGTTGGATCCTTTGTATGTAAAGGAAGGATAAAACAATGGCTTAGATAAGAGCATCTTGAACACAATTTCCCAGTGCCTGGAATCCCCGCAGAGAGGGCTGATTTGTGGAGACTGGGAAAAGATAGATCAAAAAACCTGTAGGGCTGATCTAACAGATCAGTGAAGGAGAGGTGGCTTGGGGTGAACAGAGGGAAGTTGCCCACAGGGTGTCAGTGAAGAAAATTGTTGACATTCAGAGAGGAGACACATAGTTAGCCCTGTCAGTCTGAAATTAAGCAGGAGGCAGGGTAAATTTGCACCTTATAAGCTAACTAAATGAGATGTATAAATAGCACAAACTTTCTGAGAGCTGGAGCTTACTTCAACAGATGCTGTGAAAGGATGTGCAAGACGTCCTTTAAAAAACAGTGTTTAAAATGGAGATAGTGATTTGAATACAATGGTAGAAAGGGAGAGGACAAAGTGGGGTAAGACTTCAGGGAAGACTCAAGAGAGAAAGAGAGAGGTCTGCAAGCTGCGCCTCCCAGTTGGAAAGAGTTTAGGCAGGCTTCACTTATTTCCTTGCCTAACCTTTCTAGGAAATATGTGTGTGGAACTGTGGGTGTGTGCTGCTTCTTGGCTCTGCATGCTTTGTTCCCAGAAGTCTTGTTTTGAAGACATTTCTCATCCTTGAAAGATGTTAAAGTATCAATGGCATGATTGGGATCTGAGGAATGTTATGCCCCATTCCACACTGCATGCTCTGCCATGGCAGTTTCCAAGCCCTGTTGGACCTGAAGATGGGTTTTAGTAGGGGGAGGGTGAGAGCCTTAGGTCCAGGATATTGTTCTAGGGTACAGGCAGGAGAGCCTAGGGAGAACTTGGAGCAGCACAAGAAAATTATTGGGCATGCACTGGAGCTGGGAACTTGCATGGTGATTGGGAAAGCCAGAGCAAGGGAATATGGCTTGGGGATTTTTGTTGTTGTGCCCTTCCCTATTCTTGCATATCTTCCCACATCTGCACCTCATTTGAATAAAGGATTGTCTTTCAAGTCCTTCCAGCTCTGCCTGCAGACCTCAAAGTGTTGATAGGTCACAGTATCTTGAATGGTGATAGAAATGCGCATTCTCATTTTACCATGCTGATCTAGACCTTTATTTGGTCTATAAGGATATTTTTCCCCATAACAAGCAAAAAAATTAAATACATTTTTTTTTCTGCTGCCATCAAACAGTGGTCCACGGACTATGCCTAAGGGGCAAAAGATGACTATGATCAATCAGAAGTATGTGAATACTCACACTTACAATTCAAAGGGGTCCACACCTCCTTCAATATTTCCAAAGGGGTCTGCACCTCCATTTGAAATGTTTCAGGGGGCTGTAAATGAAAAAAGGTTGAAAACCACTGCGATAGAGAGATCCGTATAGTATATGGCTGGCAACCAAAGTGCATTTTTTTAGATTTGTAAGTGTTCTTTTGCATTTTATTTTGCAAAATTCGGTCTTCATTAAAGGCACCTGCAATACAGGTAGAGTCTAAAGCAGCGGGAATGAGAAGTAACTATAGTTCTTTTCTGCGTAGGATTGGTATGATCTCTCTCAGGCCTGAAAGCTTGCCAGAAGTTTATGGTAGACTGGAACAGCATTTTCCAAAATGCACAGGAACGCTTCAGCTGAGTAGAGCGAGTATATACAATGTTCTGTACTGACTGATGAAACATTGATACTAGCTTTCCAGAGAAAGGGTGGGGGAAGAAGGACCATTAATTTACTGACTTCCAGGGTAATTCTGCTGTTGACTTTCATAGATCATACTCTTTATTCTTGGTATGGTTTTAAGAATGTAGGGGTATGAAATACAAACAAATGATTTTTATTTATACTGGTATGTACCATATTGCTTTTTTTCTGGCAGTACTTGGCTATATAATGTTGTAATGCAAATAAAGTTTACCAAAATATCAGTCAGTACATTAAGAACCACAGTCTGTACGTGAATTTTCTACTCTTTTAAAGCACATCTTACATTTAAAAATAACATACTGTACTATTACTACTCTGACATTTATTAATGAAATCACTGTACTTTCCAAATACAAAATAAACATGTTGCTTGCATTCTTGTCTTTGAACAGAAAGTGACAGCCTGGTTTTCCTAGCTCTGTTCCCTCCAATGCAGAGACAAAGTGCATATCTACATCACTTCCAGCCGTTCTAGGGAGCATTGTCATGAAAAAACTATTCTGGGCCCACCAATGAATGAAAACATGTAAAGCAGGGATTATTGGTGCCTGCACAGAGTACAACCAGTTCTGTTGCACTCCATGTCTTACATGTTTATTAGTGCTCATAGAAGCTACATTTGTGTTTTTTCCAGCATTTGGTGTGCATGGATCATGAGTAAGGTGATGGGGGGTGTCTTTTCTCAGTAGTGCTCTCTAGCACAGTCTGAAACAGTGTAGACATACCCAGAGTCATCCAGGGTGTGTATTAGTACACTTTATTCTTGGTACTGTTTTAAGAATATAAAGATACAGATGCTTCTACCCTGTTTTATGCCAATATTCAAATTTGATTTTTGTCCGCAGCAACCATGCCAAAGTAGGACATCATCATGTTCAAATTTGAGTTAAAAAATGGGCACATTTGCTTGATCTTGATCATTGCTTGATCCTGTGCCTTAGCAAGGTCCTTATTGGTGCATGACTCTCCAATATGTGGGCAGGCCAGTTGGCATTCATTAGTCTGGAAGTTTCCTCTGCATTTGCATGTGATGTTTGCGTTGTTTGAGTATCCCCACAGTTGCATGTTAACTTTAGTCTTACCAACCCCTGTTTAAAGGAGTTTCAAGCTTCTCCGCATTGACCAATCAAGCTTTGTACCTGCAGAAAGATGTTCAGTAGTTTTGACATTCATCCTATCTCCCTACTGGGCCATATCTAGTCATAATTATCACAGCAGGAGCATTCATGTTTTTGAATCTGCACATTCTGCTACACACTTATCACCTCAGTCAAAGCATCTGGCTTGGTGCTTTTGCTTGATTCCAGGCACTAGCATAAGTAATGAGATCAATAGAAAGAAAAAGCAGAAGGGAAGGGGAGAAGGGCTATAAGGGAAGAAACAGAAGAAAAGATAAGAATTGCATATAGCATGCTTGTGTTAGTGAGAAACAACAGAACTTTGTTCAGAACATGACAGGATGTTGTCACTCCAGAACAAAATTTTGTTGTTCTGTCAAACAAAGTTTGGTAGAGCATGCCCAGTATGTTACTTGTGAGAGAGCATTAATAGTAATTTTGAGATGGAATCTAACATAATTTTCCTCTTTGTTTTTCATTTAGGCCTTGGGGAACCATGAGTTTGATAATGGGTTGGATGGACTATTGAATCCGTTACTTAAAAATGTGAATTTTCCTATCCTGAGTGCCAACATTAAGGCAAAAAAAACAATAGCAAGCAACATCACTGGATATATCCTACCTTACAAAATAGTAAACGTGGGTTCAGAAAAAATTGGAATTGTTGGCTATACCACAAAGGAGACTTCTTTTCTTTCAAATCCAGGTATGCTTTCTCCTAGTATTGCAAGAATAGTCCAAGCATTTTTAAAAATTGACTAGATCCAGCAATCTTCTGTAACGTGAAGTCCCTCCAGTTTCCTAACTTATAAGATTCAGCGTGAGTCTGAATTCTACATTGTGCCTACATAGCGCTGATTTATTTCTAGTAGTTTCTTCTAGGAACTCACCATAGTTATCAAAAAATCAAGTAATGTTCCTGGACTTCCTCTGAACAGGAACCTCTGAAGAGTTTAGATATCCAGACAACTTCACGTTACAAGGTGAAGTAACATATCTATTAGTATACATATCTATTAGTATGCCTTCTGTACTACCAATACTGTTTGTTGTCACTTCTCCAGTCTAAAACTGCTGTTAGAATACTTTAATAAATTATAAGCCCATTGAAACACTCCATCCTCATGTTCCCATTGTCATCCAGCAATATTCTTCTTACATAAGGCTGCCAACATAAACAGGTGGAAACAATGAGCAAAGGAAACCTTAAAGAGTATCCTGTAGCCAGCAGCCAGCTGGTACTTTTCTTTGAAGTAGGAGTGTACCAATAGAAATTTTTTGGGCTGATACCGATCTGATCACTGATATACAGCCCAGCAGCTTGGAGGGTAGGTAAGTGGCTGAAAAGTCTGTTGTGGGGGAATGGGTTGGGGGACGGAAGGGGTGTGGTGGGGGGCCAGATCGAGGCCTCTGCGGTGAGGGTGGGAGTGGGGCTGGGGCTCAGGCAGTGGTGGGCACTGCCCAACCAGGGCAGGGTGGGGCACAGGACGGAGCTGCGAGCATCTTGTCCTGGGGTTGCAGGGAGCAGGGCTACAGGAAGGGGTTCTAGCCACTCTAAGATTTGCTGCAGCCCCAGCCCCACCGATGGCCAGAAAGAGCCCAGCATAGCCCTGGCCCCAGCCTGCAGTAGCAGCCTACCCTTGCTCCCCTCACAGATCCAGGGGCACATGCCCACATGCATTCTCGAAGTGTGTGTAGAGGCGGGAGCTGCTCCCCCCATGTCCCCCAGATGAGCCACTCATGGCTCTATCCCATCCTGTGCCCTGTCCTGGCTGGCCAGCGCCTGCCCCTTTCCCTGCCCCAGCCCCAGCCCCACTCCCTCCCTTCCTTCCTCACCGTGGGGGCCTCGATCTGTCCCCCCACACCCATTCCCTCCCCTACCCTTTCCCCCACAACAGACCTACCAACCTGACACTGCTCTTCTCACTGGTGGGCTGTGCTCCTGGTGACCTATGCACGGGGCATTTATCGGCAACATTATCAGCCACATCAGCCAAAAAAGTCGATTGCTGATAATGTCAATTTTCCTTATATCGGTGCTTATCCGATATGTACTGATATATTTACCTTTACTTTGAAGGCCTCCATTGCGCTACTGGATCCAGCCACCACTTATAAATTATCTTAGAGGGTTCTTTTCTTACTTCTGTAAGCATTAATAAATATCTGTTTTTTAGGAGATGATATCATATTTGAAGATGAAATTGAAGCATTGCAACCACAAGTGGACAAACTTATCAATTTGGGAGTGAACAAAATTATTGCACTAGGACACTCTGGCTTTTTGGTGGACCAACAAATTGCTCAAAAAGTGAGAGGAGTGGATGTTGTTGTTGGGGGACATACAAACACATTTCTGTATACAGGTAATTTTCCTCTTACTGAAAGTGTTTCTACAGTAGGCCTTAAAATGAGTGTCAGTTGAAAAAACTGATTGTTAATTAAAGGAAATCGTTATTGAAGTAAGAGAATTTGAGAAAATATGATCTACTGCTAACTAAATACTTTGGCTGTCTCTTTAGGTGGTGACTGCAATCAAACTATACTAATTTAAAATAGGCAGAGCCAACCGCACCCTGTCATACATCAACAGGGGCATCACTAACAGGTCCAGAGAGGTCTTGCTCCCCCTCAATGCGGCGCTGGTCAGGCCACAGCTGGAGTACTGTGTCCAGCTCTGGGCGCCGCACTTCAAGAGGGACGTGGGGAACCTGGAGAGGGTCCAGAGGAGGGCCGCTCATATGGTTGAGGGCCTCCGTGGCCAGCCCTGTGAGGAGAGGCTGCGGGACCTGAATCTCTTCAGTCTCTGCAAGAGGAGACTGAGGGGGGATCTTGTGGCTGCCTACAACTTTATCAGGGGCCACCAGCAGGGACTCGGGGAAAGTCTGTTCACCAGGGCT